TGGTCATCGCCGAAAGAAAAATGCACACGTCCGAGCGATGCCAGGCCACAGGCAAGGGGGAGGGGAGGGAGGCCAGGCCGAGGGGGGGACGCCGGGGGGGGGGGGGGAGGAGGTGGAAGGGAGCAAGGGGGGCAGGGAGGGAGCGCCGCGAGACACCCTGCGGCGATGCCTGCGCCCCCCCTCCCCACGGGGGCCTTCTGTCCGTGGAGTCCGCGCCGTGGTTCCACCTGGGGCCACAGCAACTGCCTCCCTCTGCTCCTCGCTCCCATTCCCGTCCCTGCTCCCGCTCCCGAGCTGCCATCGTGTTCCTTAGCTCTCCGCGTTCTCGTCCTGGGTATGCCCCACACCGCATCGTGCCCCTCCGCGTGTTCCTCTGCCTCGTCCTCCTCGTCCGCACAACCTCCCTCCTGCGCCCTCCAGCAGGGCCCCGTGGGCCCATGTCGTGGCTGAGCAGGGCCCGTCCTGGGGTCTCGGGGCGATCTGTGACCATCGTGGCCACCACCTCGGGGGGGGGGGGGCAGTCTCGAGGAACCCAGGGGCTGGGCTTCCCGAGAGGCCCTCCCGGGTCGTGGCTGGGCGGGGGCGGGCTCCGGAGCTCCACCCCTGCGTCGCCCCGCGCGACCATCTTCGGGGCCCGCGGGGGCCCCAACGGTGGGCCCCAAGAGGGCTCCACGGGGCCGCCAGGACGGTCGACGAAGGCCCCCATACCCACGTCGCGGCGCGACGGCGGCGCCGGCCGAAGGCCACCAAGGCCTCCAGGGCGTCGCGGTGCGGGGGGGCTCCAGGGTGTCTCGGCCTTCGAGGACGCTCCGGGCGGCGAACAAGCGTAAGCGGACGTCATACAAGCACCTACGTGCCTGGTTTGCCCAGTCGGCATGGTGTGCCCCTCCAGGCCAGAAACGGGCTACATCTTACAACCCCCAGAAGCGTACGGACCCAAAACCGAGCAAACCGCATAGACGCCCTTGAGATCTACTGGTCGATTCGGGATTGATCAAATCCCATGGAAACTCGGCATCAGCAACAAACTCTGGTCCCGTCCGACGGACCCGAAAATGACCAATCCGCTGAAGACGTCCTGTGAACAGACCTTCTCGGGTGAGCCATGTTTCTTCCCCGAGCGTTCGAAAGGTCAGTGTTCACGCCAGAACGCGTTTTCGGTCCAGCTCCACTGCGCGCTTGAAGCGCGCTTGCAGTATTGCGGCACGCTGCGTTCGCATCGCACCGCGCCTCGCAAATTATAACAAACTTTCGGAACGCCAATGTGCACTCTCATATTTCACTATGCTCACATCTGCTCGTCCTCACCCTACTCCACCCTCCACTGGATCGGCCCGACTCCACTCGGCGCTGCCCCTTCTGTACCATGCGCTGCTCTACTCGTCTACGCACTGAATACGCGCGCAGAGGGATGCGGGGAAACACGTATCGGCATAGTACACACATCTACATTTAGTGTGTACATCTGAAAAGTATATGGATACATACATACATCCATACATACATACATACAGACAGGCAGACAGACAGACAGACACAAACATACAGACATACACGCATTCATGGATACATACATACACACATACATCCATACATACATACGGACATGACTATACACATGTGTGCAATTACCGATTGTAGATAATCATCGCGCATATAATGTACAACATTGCACATATCATGGCCATATAACTATAAGTACATAACGTATACATGTATATACTGCTTGATGCTATTCATTATAATTAGATGTGCGTAGATGGATACGTATATCGCTACGTACTACGACCATCGCGCGCGCTTCGCGCGCGCTCCGGTTCTAGCTCAGGCCGGGGGGCGGGGCCGCCGGAAGCTCTTGGACATAACGATCAAGCACAGACGCGTGCCATAGTCGTACCCATCGCACAGACCTACTTCTCATAGTCCTCATCGTACAGCCCTTCGTCATCACAGAAACCGTCCGGACCACATCCACTACCAATCTCATCGACCGCATCATGGATAGCATCATTGGCCCAGTGCTGCGAGTCATGACAGCACGTCAAGCTCGGATATCATCAGGATCGCCATCATCATCCTCATCCTTGTCCGTCTCATCGTCATCGGTCCCCGAGCCTGCCTGCGGTCAGAAACCTTTGCTGTGTGTCGCGACGGCGACCCTTGCGACACGCCATGCCCTGCAAGCGGATAGAGTGTCACTCCGCTTCGCTGGGTAGGAGGGCTATAAAATGCTCGGGACGCAGTGAAGAGCACGATTCGGATGATGCGCCCCTGAGTTTCGTAACGAATGCGTAGCTTCCTGGCGGCCTCTGGGGAGCTTTGCAAGGGCATGTAAGGAGCGCCTTGGGAGTCTCTTTGAGCCTCTAGGGGGGCCCGTCATTTGCCAGGCAGATCAAAATGAGTGCAACATAAGTCAACACAAGTGCTCATACCTGGTCTAGGACTGAGTCTGCCCAACTATTCGGGCACCCCTGGTCCAGTTCGCCCTCAGCGTTTCGGCGTGTGGTTGGCCATCCTCTTCAGGACCTGCCACAACCAACCACACGGGGCAGGCCGACGCTGACACGAACGACTTTTTGGCCTTCAAAGACGGGAGGAAACAACTGGGCCTCGTGGGGGTATCTTGGGGCCTCTCGGAGCCTCTTTGGGGGCCTCTCTTCGGAACATCTCCGGGACTTCAGGGGCTTCCTCGCGGCGCCCACGGAACCTGCCAGGCCAGCTGCGCAGTAGTGGACCGTCCCCCCTGCGGCAGCAGGAGGAGGAGGAGAAACAGCAGGGGAGGAGGAGGAGGAGGAGGAGGAGGAGGAGGAAGACGAGGAGGAGGAGGAGGAGGAGGAGGAGGAAGACGAGGAGGAGGAGGAGGAGGAGGAGGAGGAGGGCGAGGAGGAGGCGCAAACGGAGGAGGCATGGGGGAGCCTATCTTCGAATAGCTTTTGACGGTCTCTGGAGAGCCTCTAGGCCCGCTGCCCTATGCCTCTTCCTGTTGTGGGTGGTGCGGGCGACGCAAGAATGCAAACTTGCAGTATTCATGTGTTCGTCCGTTGACACGCCCCTCAACGGGAGCTCGGCGCTGAGAGGCCAAATTGTGAGGTTAGCATCATTGGTCTGCCCGTCTTTCGGCCCACGAGTCTTCCCCCGCCTCTACGAGGCTGGGAGGGCGAGACAAGAATGCAAGCAAATTGTTTTGTCCGCCCTCCGTCTCACTATCCTATCCCTCCTCCGCGGGACGTGGGGCCAAGGCTGGCAATTAGCCTTGCATTCTTAATGTGTACATTGTACTACCCAATCCCTCCTCCTTATTGTTCGAATTGTCGGGGCCGCGGCAAGAATGCAACCTTGCGTTCTTGATGCGCCCAATACTCAATCAACTACCGCATCCATCCGCCAACGAGTGCGAAGGTCGACGTTAAAAAACGAACCTGATTTCTTAACTTGTCCGTCCTTCGACCCGCTACCCCAACCCTCCTCCACAAGGTTTGACGGGCTGAAGCAAGAATGTACATTTACGTGCGTAAGTTGCGCACTGTTCGACCCACTACTCCATCCCTCCTTAACGGGCTTGGGCACCGAAACAATACTGTAAACGTGTAGTCTGGGTTTGTCTGCCCTTCAACCCGCTACCGTGTCCCTCCCCAGCGGGGTTTGGCGGGTGAAGCAAGAATGCAAAGCCTACATTCTCACTTGTTCGTGCCCTCCATGGAGTCCGGAGGGCGTGGGAAGAATGTGAAGGTGCATGCTCGACGTGCCCGTTCTTCGACCCACTGCTCTGTTCCTCCTCCTCCTCCTCCTCGTCCTCCTCCTCCTCCGCCTCGTCCTCCTCCTCCTCCTCCTCCCCCTCCCCCTCCTTCTCCTCCTCCTCCTCCTCCTCCTCCTCCTCCTCCTCCTCCTCCTCCTCCTCCTCCTCCTCCTCCTCCCCCCCCTCCTCCCCCCGGCAAGAATGTAAACGTACATGTCTGATGTGGCCGAACTGTGACTCGCGACAATATCCTTCCTCCGGGGGGTGTCGGGGGTTTACGCACGAAGGTTAAACTACGTACATTCCTCACTACCGAATCCTGATCGGTCCGAGAGCAGACACGGTCTTGACAGCCTGACACGCCCGTGCGCGAGTGGCATAACGAGTGGCCCGCTGAAGACTCCCCGCTGCTGAGCAATAAGAAGTAATGGCAAGGAGAGGAGCACGGAAGGTAGGGTGGAGGGGGGACACGAGCGACCAGCTCCTGAATGCGAATGATTGGAAATCGCCGAGCGCATCTTGGGACGTCTTGGGACCCTCTTGGGTCCCTTGGGACGTCTTGCGCCCATTTGGGGGCACTCTTGAACCGTCTTGAGCCACTCTGGGGCCCTCGTGGGGCCATCTTGAGCCGCTTTGGGCCCCTCTTGGGCCAGCGTGAGCCCTTAATGGCGCCCTCTTGGGACTCTTTGCGGCCGTCTAGGGGCGAGCTCGGGGGCTGGCCCGTCGTGGGCGCCCAGAGGAGCGCACAAACAAATATGCGAACATCATACCACAACCAATGAAACATCGCTGATGTTGTGCTCCGAGACCCCTGGGCCATTCAAAAGGGCTGTTTAGATCGTCTTGAGCCGCCGTGAAAGCGCTCGAGCTGCTCCTCTGCCATATTGGTCCGCTCTGGTCGCTCACTCGTGAACCCAGAAGCTGTTTTGAGCGGCCCCAGGGAGGCCCTGGAGGCCCCGTGATTCACTCAGGGGGGCCTCAGGCTTAGGGCCAGGGTTTGGAAGTGCTGGAAGCCTTGGGACCTCTTCGGGCTGGATGGGGTCGTCGCACGCTTCTCGCGGGCTCAGGTTCTGGCGCGTGTCTGCTTCGTCCTACAAGCGTACGTGTGCACATCTTTACACCCGTCTGTTCTTACGCCAAGCCAAACATACATTCGTCCATACATCCCACATCTGGAATGGGTGAATACCGTCATCCAAATACCTTCATCCAAGCAGCCGGGACAGCACCACACATGACCCCCCTGTGGAGTAATGCATCCAGACATCCATCGATTCTCATCGCTAGCACCCATACGACACAAGCCCATCCAGCCGCCCATGTACACATGCACCTGCTTTGTTGATCAGAGGCGCAGCCGCAACGACAAGTCCGATGCCGATCGGACCCGCCGATGAGCATCGGTGGGCGACTTGATCGAGAAACAGACGCCAGCGCCACAATCCTAATCTTGGAGCCCGCGGGGGGCCTTAAAAATGTCAGCGCCGGAGGGGGGGGGGGCACTCACGGTCAGCTCGACGAGGGGGCCTGCTCAGGGGTTGAAGAAGCCGCTGTCGTTCGCGTAGACCGAGGCGAAGAAGAAGACGGTCAGAAGAACCACGATCGAGATGTCGGATCCCCCGCTGCTGGTCTTCTTCTCATCCCCCGCGGTGCGCCCATCCGCCAGCTGGTTCCGCCCGTACTCGAAGCCCTGCAGGGTGCCCGGAGGAGGCTTCAGGTAGTAGTCCCCCTTCTCCCACTGGGCCCAGAAGGGCTTGCCGCCTGGCGCCCCGCCGTAGCCCGCCCTCTCGACCGACGGGGCCGAGGAGCGCAGCCCCCGGGCCCGCGACGCGCCGACAAACGACGAGGACTGCAGGCCGAGGCACGCCAGCGCGGCCGCTGCGAGGGCGCAGGCGAGGAGCACCGAGCCGGAGCGGGCCATGCCTGCGAGTCTGGGCCTCGACGTGGCGATGCAGCACGGGGAGGCGGGGCAACAGTCTTGGACCGAAATGGCTTGAGCCACAAACGGCT